ACTCAGCAGCTTGGACTTCAGATGATCCCAGACGCAGTCAAGTTGACAACCAAGATTATTCATCATAATCCTTAACTCTTGTGCTGTCTAAATTTATGTCAACTTGACACAAACTATAGTCATCTGAGAGGAGAGAACCTCGATTGAGGAAATGCTCCCATAAGATCAGGCTGTGGGCCAGCTTTAGTGATTGATGTGGGGAGGGCCCAGCCCATTGTGGGTGGGGACACCCCTGAGCTGGTGTCCTGGGTTCTGTAAGAGAATGGACTGAGCAAGCCATGTGGAGTATGCCAGTAAGCAGTTCCCCTCTGTGGCCTCTGTCTCAGCTCCTGACTTCAGATTCCTGCCCTTTTTGAGTTCCTGTCCTGACTTCCTTCAGTGATGGACTACAATATGGAAGCATAAGCCAGATAAACCCTTTTCTCCCCTTCTTTTTTTTTTTTTTTTCATGGTGTTTTTCATCACAGTAATAGAAACCCTAAGACAGCCCTTAACAGCCTTTTAAGAAGATCCTGTCTACAAATACAGTCACATTCTAAATGATTGTAACTTCAATGTAGAATTTTAGGGGAGACACAATTCAGCTAGGAGCAATATTCCAACAGGCATGCATGGTACACTTGGCAGTTTGCATCCATATTACTCTAATGACTGAAGCTCAGCATATTTTCATGGGGCCATAAGTCATTTGCACGAAGATCAATTCAGATATTTGAAGTATTTTTCAATCAGGCTGTTAGTCTTCTTGTTACTGAGTTTTTAAGAGGTTTTTTTTTGTTGTTGTTGTTGTCGTTGTTGAGATAAAACCTATTTATTGACCACTATTAAGTTATGACAAAATTTAGAAATAATGTTTGCACAAAAACCCCTCCAAATAAATAGGAAGTGGGACTGTAATAGTAATATGTAAATTTGTTACTTTTTTCATGGTATGAGGTTAATAACATTTCCTCAAGTCTGGTGTCAGGGTAGGTTTTGCTCACTGGCAAAACCTTCTGAACCTTCTGAGTGCCTGGTAGCTCCATAGGCTCTGGCCAAAAACCTTTGAGAGTATCAAGGATGGTGTTCTCATGGCACTCCAGAGGGCTGCTGAGCCCCATCCTATAATCTGACATTTCTCTCTTGCCGGGCAGTTCCCGAATAACCACTCAGAGGCTTAATATTAATTACAAACGGTTTGGCCTATTACTCAGTCTTATTATTAACTAGCTCTTACAACTAAATTAACACATTTCTATTAGTCTATATTTTACCACGAGGCTTGTTACCTCACATCTTGCTTCCCCAGTGGCTGCTGGTGTCTCTCTGACTCTGCCCTTCTTCTCCTTATATCTCTGCTTGGATATCCCACCTGTGATAGGGGATGTTCTTCTGTGTATGTTTCTCTTATTGGTTGATGAATGAAACACTGATTGGTCAGTAGCCAGTCAGGAAGTATAGGTGGGCTACCAGATGAGGAGAAGGCGGAGAGAGGCCTCAAATGAGATACCAAGCTGCTGAAGGAGTAACATTCTGGATTATGGGTAAGCCACAGCCTCGTGGCAATACATAGAGTAATAGAAATGGGTTAATAATTAAGACAGAGCTAGCCAATAAGGAGCCTAAGCCATTGGCCAACAGTTTAATAATTATTATGTTTCTGTGTGCTTATTTGGGGCTAAAGGGTGGAAGGACCTGATGGAACAGAACTTCTATCTACACACCTGGCTCTATTCTGCCTGGCTATTGGCCAAATCATCTTCCTTATTAACCAATGGTAATAAAACATGTTCACAGTGTACAGAAAGGCATTCCACATCACCATCTATTTAGCTGTGAAAGGATTGTCCAGCCCCTTGTTCACAAGGAAGTCTGTGGAGTGATCACAAGAGGACCAGTCCAGAACATCTCTGTTGACTGTGTATCTTAGTATCCTTCCATTCAGAGGCACCAGTGGCCTAAAAGCTACCTTCTCTCATAGAGAAAATAGCACAGCTTTTGCCCAACCTGTCTTCTCAAAAGACAAGGAGTTAAACAGACTTCATGGTAGGAAGATGGAGAGGGGCCATACCTGGCTGCTTCTTCACCCTCCTGACCTGAGACAAAAGCCTTTCAGTTTAAAGCTTGTAGGTTGTTTCCCTCTTCAACAGTGGTCTGACTCAACAAGTTCAAGGCCCTGGGGCATGTCTGTATAACAGTTATGGACCAATCAACTACTCTATCTTTCTTCAAACTTGCCGACCCTAATTTAGGGGAGTAAACTCTTCATAGACTTTAAAAATCCCAGCTCTAGAGAAGAGACTGCGTTTTTGGCTCCCCAAGTCCCACCTCTGCTTTGCAGAGGGTCTTGTTTTCTGTGTGTCTGCTGCATGTGTGTCTCCTCACCCCCAATAAACACCTTTCTTCAGCTGATGATTCTGTCTGTTGCTATCTGATGCTTGAGAGGTCTCAGCTGCTCAAGATTTTTCCTTCCTTTTAACTTTCTTTTATTTTCTTTTGTTTTTCACAACAGGATTTCTCTGTGTGTAGCTCTGACTGTCCTGGAACTTGCTCTGTAGACTAGGCTGGCCTCTAACTCAGAGATCTGCCTGAATCTACTTCCCAAGTGCTGGGATTAAAGGAGTATTCCATCACACCCAGTTGCCTTTTAACTCTTTAACTGGCAGAGACGACCCCTAGACCTATCAACAGTGACAGTTCAGTGCAAGGGTCTTCCTGCTCTCATTCTTTACTACTTCAGCCGTGAAATTAGCAGTTGCCCTTTGACCAGGCTCTTGTGCTTCAACCTTCTGTCCTGGTAAGGGCTTCCTGATTATCAAATGTTGATGGATTATTAATATTGTTAATTATTAATTATTAAGAGCAATTATTAATGTTGAAACAAAGGTGACTCTTCCCCCCAGCAGCTGTACTAATTTTATTTCTGTTTTGTTCTCTTCCAGCTCTCTCCTGGCATCTTGACAGGGAACTCAAGCTTCTGGATTTTCTTTTCATTTCAGGAGTCAGGAGGTCATCAAAAGCCTTGTCTCTCTCTTCCCTTTATGAATAGACATGCTGTGCTTGCACAACAATTTTGACCCCTCCCAAAGTTACATTATTAAGAGACTAAGATATCTTGGAGTATAATTGTATCTCCCTTTTGCTTATGTAAACCAGGCTAGTTTTAAGCTTGTTATTCTCTGGGCCTAGCCTCCTGAGTGTTGAGATTACAAGTATTCTCCATCATGCCCAGCACCTTTTTTCCTTCCTTCCTTCCTTCCTTCCTTCCTTCCTTCCTTCCTTCCTTCCTTTCTTCCTTCCTTTATATGTACTTGAAATTTTCTTTGGCCAGCTCCCAAATCAAGACAAGCTTAGGCTTGTCCCTCTAGCTCTTTTAACTTAATTTAACCTGTTTCTATTCATCTACATTTTGACTCGAGGCTTTTTACCTTTCAGTCTTTATGTCCTAATTTCCTGCTTCCTCCAGGTCTGTCTGTCTGTCTGGCCTCTGGTGTTTCCCTGTCATTTCCTTTTCTTTCTTCTTTTTCAAGCTTAAATTCCTCCTCCTACTTACTCTCCCTGCCCAGAAGTTCCACCTACACCATCTCCCTTGCTATTGGCCATTCAGCTTTTTATTAAACCAAGCAGGTGCCTTAGGCAGGCAAAGTAAAACAGCAGGACATCTTTACATAGTTAAACAAATATTCTACAACATTTATTTATTTATTTATTTATTTATTTATTTCTGTGTAGCCCCAGCTATCCTGGAACTTGCTATGTAGTATTAATCCTACCAATCAAAAATAAGACCACTACCATAGTTTAAAGCCATATTTGAAGCAAGTTTTAATTGAGTACTGGCCAGGTGGATGGGCTCTGACCAGCTCCAAATACAGGTTTCTGGAAAATGTCCCCAAATAAAGTTTTGCAGCAGCTTAAGTATTTCTAATCAGGTCCAATCAATGGTAAGCATACTTTCTAATGTACCTCTAGCTTACATCCAATCAGAGACAAGAGTACATCCTGACATATTTCCTGCCTGTGAATCTCCCACCCACATGTGATCAAGCACATCCAGCATAGATGGGTCAAACAAACTTACTTAGGGGAGTGAAAATATGTGTGGCTTGTTATCTCCCATAAACAATAGACTCCAGCATTTCAGGAATTATATGTCCTTGGGCAAGGGCTTGCAGATCAGAGGCATTTTGTTTCTAAGGCATAGTAATTAAAACTTAAAATATAACTTTGGCTCTTACAGTAGAACAGGCTGGCCTCAAACTCAGATCTATCTGCTTCCACCTCCCGAGTGCTGGGATTAAAGGCATTTGTCACCAACGCCCGGTTTAAGTAGTTTCTTAATATTGTCTCTTTGAATTTCAACAGTCTTGGGCATACCCAGGCCAGGCAGCATTTTTATTTTTGGGTCTCCCTGAATCTCTTGCTATCTGCAGTTACTGTATGGGGAACCAGTTCCCTGAGCCCTGATTGTAGTTGCCTCTTTGAAAGTGGTGCACCCACTTATCTAGGGTTTGGTGGGAGCAATCCAAGGTACAGATGTTTCTTGGAGTGACAACTGCTCTATCCTGAAGTCCCAGAAGAAAGGGATGGGGCCGAGAACCCTTGCAGAGCTTGGTGTTGTTACGATCTTTACTCTTTCCTATAGAATCCCACCCTGGGCTAGCTCTGGAGACACTTAGCCACAGGGGTATTGTGGCTGGTAGACTGAAACTTAGCCCTCTAGGAGGCTGAAGGGTAACATTTGAAGGCACAAAGCCAAGTACCTACCTAATTAGAAGACTTCAGTTATAGTGGCCAGAGGAAACAGGAGCTAGTGATACTGCTCCTGGTGGGAGGTCTGGGGCTAAAGTGGGCAGGTCATGATAGAACTGCAAGGTAAAAGATCAAAAGTCTCCTGGTGGCTCAGTCTGTGCTCACTGCTCAAGTTATATGGCGGGGCAGGGTTGCCTATGGCCCAGTGATTGCTGGCCACTGACCTCTGGTCAGACACACCCATGTAGGAGCCATAAAACCCTAAGCAGCCAGGGCTGGGAGAGAGGACCAGGCACCTGAACACTGGGATCTGCAGCTTCTACTCGCCTAGAGCTCCTCAGCACCGAGAGGGAGCCCCAGTCATGAAGAGGTGATGCCCTGGGCCCTAACTTTCTGATCCTTACAAGTTGGCAGCTGGGCATTGGCCAGAGTGGGCCTGGCTGTGTGGTTAGGGTCACACTGGGTCTGAGTCTAGCTTAGAAATGGGCTCTGGGAGTTAATCCATCCCCATCTAAAACCTGATTCCAGGGGAGTAAGTATCTTAGGGGAAGAAAGGATGGAAGGAGGGAAGGGAGGGAAAAGTCCCCTTCTCTGCAAAATACCCACCCTTGGGTCTATAATCCAGAATTTACCTCTAACAGCAGCCCAAGTGGCCTCCAGAAGTGCATGAGGGTCAGTTGTCCCATGGAGTCTCTGAGCCAGTAGAGCATTAGATCCTAAAGGCTCCTTGGGAAAAGGCAATGGTTCCAGGCTGTGGTGGCCCAAAAGAAAAGGGACAGTGGCAGAGTAAGGGGTATAGGGGAATATGTAGCAGGTCTTTGAGGCCTGGTGGGAGTAGAGGCAGGACAGGAATCAGGCAACCTGAGGGTTAGCCACCCAGAAGCTAGGGTTTGATTCTCAGGGAGACATAGGGTTCTTGTAGGACATGAGTCATCAGAGATGAGGGGGTGGGGGTGGGGGACAAAGGCTAGAATGGGGTTCTTCATGTTCATCTCTCTGCCCAGCACAAGAATAGGTGTCTGTCTAGTGGTTCTGATGTAAGACAGGGCCACTCAAACCTATCTGGCCAGATCCCCACCTTCTGTCCTTTGGCCCCTGTCACTAAGTGCTGAATCACAGACAGGAGAGATTTCTTTAAGGTTTCAGTGTATGCACACACACAAATTCATGTAAACACACACACACCCAAACACACACACACACACACACACACACACATACACACCACATAATACAAACACATGCATACTTCACACACATGAGTACCTTTCTACAGTCACATGTTCAGAAACACCTGCCATTCCTTCTGTCTGCATGATGGGGATGGGGTTACTGGCCACCTGAGATTCTACTAGGAGCTACCCTACTCTTAATACCATGGGTCATGGCCTCAGGAGTATTGTGGCATGGTATTGTGCAAGGACCTCCATCCATCCTGTCAGTGTTCTCACACATATGTGTGTGCAGGCCCATATGTGTGTCCTCGTATGGCCTCTGGAGTCCTCAGCACTGACTGACAGTGTCCTGTCACAGTAGGATCTGCCTAGAACATGGGGCATCTTGGCCATAGGTGGAGAACTTGGCATCAGGACATAGAGCAGGAGTGCCCTGGGCATCTTGCTTATCTTGCCTGCAGGATCTTTCCTTCGAGACCAGATTCACCAGTGGATCAGCAGGGACCTACCCTTGATCTCTCTGTCCAAGACATTTGCTACCAGGCCCAGTAGGCCTTGACTGGAGCATCAGGAGTTGAGGTCACCCCTCACCACTTCACACTTTCTCTCTGATCCCCCAGGTTTCTCCTGGCCACCTGTCTGGTGACTGTGCTGCTGCAGGAGGCAGGTGCAATTCCAGCACACCAGGTATGCAGGCTCCATCCCCGGCTGCCAACTTCTGGCCCAGTTAGCGTGGAATATTGGAAAGCACCTCTTTTTCTTCACCTCAGGCTGGGCAAGGAGAAAGGAAACAGGGTAGAGGCCATGCGAATGTGGTAGCAGCATCATGTGAGCACTGAGGAGGGGGAGGGGGCTCAGGAAGAGAAGGGCATGGGGGTCAAATATCCTTGATACTCAGGTTACCAGGAGGGGATCTGGGCTTCCATAACATTCAGGTGACCAGAAGGACATGGGTCTCCATCACACCCACATAACCACATAGGGATGTGAACTTCCATGACACATAGGTGACCCCAGGATGGGAGGGTATGGGTTCATGACATAGATGATTACAGGTGGAGACATGGACGTCCAAAACACCTAGGAAGACCCTGTGTGAAGTGGGTCTTCTTTGTATCTTACCTTCTCTGTATCTCTGGCATACTGAGGGCATGTCTAGACTGGTAACAGAGGGCCCAGTAGGAAATGAACTGAGCTTGTCCTGTGCCAAGTCCACTCAGTCTGCACACGTGGCAGTGAAAGAGGATGAGGAAGGCCCACCCTTCCAGCCACACAGCTGGACACTTCCCCAGGTCATCCTCTGTCTCACTTTCCTCCTGGAGCTTTGTCTCATAAGGTGTTCAGTTCAGAGGAGCTGACTACCTTCCAGGCCAATAGCCAAGATGGGGACGGGCAAGTACAGCCTTAATTGGTGCAAAAAGCCAAGCTGAGCCCCAGGTACCTACTGAAGACCTCTACTTTCTCCTAAGCTGCCAGGTTTTCAGGAAGCTTGGCCATTTGGGGACAGACTGGTGTCCTAAATTCCCTACCTGTAATCCTGGTATCTATGGTAACTCTTATCCCCTAGAGTTAAACACAGGTTGAGCTGAAGCCCTGCCTGTTTGTGGGCCTTAGAGTGACCTCTTCCTGGGTGTCATCCAACCTTGGCAAAATCCCCACCTGTGACTTACTCTCCTAGGTCCCTGTCAAAACCAAAGGCAACCATGTGATCCTTGAGCAGGAAACAGAGAAGTAAGTGCCCCAGAAGATAAGGGTGGGCTGTGCACTGGGGGATGGAGATCATGGCTGTTCCCAAGCTTCTAGATGGAGGTGATACTCAAATCTTACAGATCCCTCCTTGGGATTTCCCTCCCAGGAGCCCCAGGTCATCTCCTAGGGAACCCTATCTATCTCCCAGACTCAGCTCTCCCCTTAGCCTCCAATGGACTAAGTTCTAGAACAGCATAATATATTACCTCCCTTGCCCTTGAGGACCCAGCCCAGGGAAGGCTCTGCCCTTCTCAGATCCCACCCCTGCACCAAGTGATTTAGAGATGTTAGGGGCACAAAGCCATGTACTTGTCCCAGGTCTTACAGGGCAGTTGATGAAGCGAATGGGTATGGAGTGGCTTCCCAGGCCCAGTAGCTACCTCAGGGTGGGGCAGAGAATGTCTTCTAAAGTGGGGCTGGCCATGTCTAACTCTTCCCACCTGTGTGTGAACCTTACCCTACTCATGCTGGCAGGGCCTTGGGTACCAAACTCACGGAGCCCCTGGAAAAGGACAACCAGCTGGGGCCATGGCTGCCTGTGCCCAAGCAGAAGTTTGCAGCTGCTGAGGAAAAGCATTCAGGTCAGAGTGGGGATCATGGCCACATCATGGGGTCCATTTAGACAGAAGGCTAATGGGGAGGAACTTGTGAAGGGGACTGAGGCTACTTCTGCCTCTCCACAGACGCTGCGACCTTGGTGGAGACTGAAGAAGACATTCTGAGCCGTTTTCGGAACCCTCGTCATGGTCCAGAACCAGATCTCGACAGCATTGACCATCCGACATACGAGGAGGTCCAGGATGAGGAAGTGCCCCAGACGTGGCCCCTGATGTATCGTCAGGTGCTCCAGGGGCCAGAGGAGGACCTTGACCACATCTCCCACTCCCTGGAGGACTCCGAAGAACCTTAACCACTCTCTCAGTCCTGTCCTGAGGCCCAGGCTGTTGTGACCACTGACTCTCCCCAGCTAGCAAAAATAAACACCTGCAAACAGGTGGAAGCCATGAGTATCTTTAAGACCAGCAATCCTGGTTAGGAGGAAGTATCACTGCCTTAACTATGCTCATCAAAAGCTTCTTATGGGGCACAAGGTCTAGTTGACTCTCAGCTCATGAACAGTTCTCCTTGGGCCTATATCTCTGCATGTAGGGATGAAGGGCTAGGTATGTCAGCAGTCAAGTGCAGAGACCAGTTAGCAGCCTCAGCCTCAGCAGGAAAATGAGACCTATCCTGGAATTCCCACAGAAGAGGCTGAGAAAGGAAATATTTGATGAAGGGGTGGGAGGTTGGGTGGGACTCAGGTTGATGAGTGTATGGGTACACAGTTTCATATGTGTATAGGAACATACATGCACAAATGTATAGCTAAATTTGCAGACACATAGATATACAAATGAACAGGTTCATAGTTACAAAGATGTCTATAGGTGGTGAACATGTGTATAGTTACACAGGCATATAGGTCCAGTGATGGGCAGGTACATAGCTTCATGTGTACACAGGTATAGAGGTGTGTGGATATGCATGTGCATGGGTACACAAGCAGATAGATACATAGGTAGATAGATGCACATGTATGTAGGTGCACAATACTTTCTGTCCTACTTTTCTGGGCAGCACCTGGATCTTTCTGGGGTGCCTGTCCACATGGCCTCACTCAGGCCTGAGCACCTATGAAAAATTACCTCATATGTAGTATATAAGAACTAAGGTGACTACCAATCCCACTCTTGCAGTGGGAGGGCACTAGGGCCCACAGAGCCACACATTTTCCAGCTCCAGTAGCTCAGGCAGAACAGACAGCTTAAGGGAAGCCATCAGCTCTCCATCCCAATGCACCCAAACCCCATGCAGCTGTGTAGGCTACCTATCAATTTCACTTACCCTAGAACTCCATGCATGTCTCATGTCCCCACTTGTCCAAGGATATGAGTGGGAGGAGTGAGGGCTCATGTGTGTCCTGGCCTCTAAGCCCCACGAAGCAGGAGCCAATGTTTCATCTCATAGAGGAATCGGGGTCTTCATATTACTTGAGTCCACTGGCCCCACATTGCAGATGGGTCCACGTTACAGATAAATCTAGCACCCCCACATTACAGTCCAGTGTTCTAAGTCCAGGGTCCTAAGGATGAATAGCAAAGCTCTGACAGTGACCTCAAGGCACAGTTCCCATCTCAGGGTACTCCACCTGTCATCCTGGTAAGAATCAAATCCATCTATTCACAGTCCCTACTCAGAAGAGCAGAGGTGCCCGAACCCTAATGAGGTCCAAGGTAGCCCCAAATCCCACATGAAGACACCACTGGTGCTCTCTTTTCCTACTTTATCACTCCTGGCCCCTAGTCTAGTCCTGGAAACTTTCAGAGCAAGTCTTCCCCTGCATGACTAATCCCCCTCTGGAGGCACTTCCCAATCCAGCAGTGTTGGGTTACCATCAAATCTTCAATGTCATTCCTCCATTAGGTTAGACATTCAGGTGCAGTGGTCAGGAAGCAGTGCCCAGTGGTCACTCTTCCCAGTGCTCATGAGGTCAGATTCATTGTCAGAATTTGAGCTGGCCTACCTCCATATTCCTTCCCTGAATCTAAGCAAAGGACCTGTCTCGCGGTACTGCAGATGCCAGGGGTCCCAGGGCCCAGTGTTTTATTGGGGCTCAGGGTAGTATTGAGGCCAGGTTTCTTTCCAGCTTTGCCTGAGCTAGGAACCTCTGTGGGCATTCCTCCTGAAGGACAACTGGGGCTGGAGAGACAGCTGAACAGTTGAGAGCACTTGCCGTATCACAGGGACTGTCTACTTACCCAACGGACTGACTCTTGGTTGTTTGCAGCTTTTGGCTAGTACGAAGCTGCTGTGAACATTCAAAAATAGTCTGCAGACATGTGGTTCAGACATGTGCAGGTATTCAGTAGGGAAACTGTTTCAGGCCCTCCTAAGGTTCTCCCCCACAATCTTGCTATTTCTCTCTGCAATTCTGAGCCTCAGTTGATCCTTTACCATCTGGGACAATGGAGGATTCAAAGCTGGGAGCAGCCAGGTTGCATCTGAGTTCCTGGGCTTAACACAGATGCTCATGAATAGATAATGGGTACTCAACCTGCCAAAACATAGGCATGGGATACAGCCCACACTCAGACCTCTCTGACCTTGAGCCAGGGAGGTTAGCATTACCCTCCCTTGCAGCTGAGCAGTCATCTCTGAGTGTCAGCCTCCTTCCATCTAAAGTGTCCAGCCCAGCTCGGTCACCTGCCCTCTGGCCTAGAGCTCAGACACTGGCTCCAGTCAAAAGTCAGGCTGTGTTGCAACCCAAGTGGGCAATGCAGAAGCTCCCAACTCCCACAACCATCCAGTGAAAAAAACTGCAGCCCCTGCTGTGCACCCTACCCAACACCAACTACCAGCTTAGCCCTTTGCCTAGGTCCATGCTGCAGCCGGATTCAATCCAGCTCTTGGGTTCCTACTCAGGCCTAGCTATTGCCCAGCTCCTAGCCCTCAAACCAGTCCTATGCTTCACTTCCCATGTAGATTTTCCACCTGAGTGGAAAGGATGGGTAGGAGATACTTATTTGGAAGCTAATGATTCCCCTGGAACTCACCACAAGACAAGTTTAGGAGTACAAAACCTTTAAAGATTGACAGTAATTATTATCTCCCTCCTACCTTCACCCCCCAGTCAATTTCACAAATCAGGGAAGGGGGAAATCTCTGCCAGGGTCCGTAGAGTCACTCAAGATCTGTCAACCTCCTGAACCCCAGGCTGGGGTCCAGGTCTGGGGGCTGCCAAGGGGTGGCCTGCTGACTGGATTCAGTTGATCTCTATGAGGGTCCAAGATCAAGAGTTCCCTTCTTCAGGATAATGTTTCCATAGAGTGCCATCTCCCTGCCGGAGGGTCAGCATGCTGAGACTCTAACTTTGCCCATTTCTGTTTGTATTCTCCCTGCTCAGCAATGTCCAGGAACTCTGCCACCCAAATCCCGCCTGTCTTCCTGGGCAAAACAGAGGTGGAGGCAGTTCCCAGGGATCTGGATAAGGACTTGCCCAAGTCACCTGGGTGCAGCAGAAACTTACCCGGTTGCAACAACAGCAAATGCCTTTTTTGCACGTTCATAAAATTCAAATCTCTCTATCTTCATCAGGGCTTTCTGCAAGACAAAATAGCATGGTTGGAGGGACCTTGCCCAGAACTCCTCTGGGTGTATTCCTGAGTTGAGTACTCCATCAGGAAATAACTAGGAGGCAGCAGCAATGATCTTCAGGCTCCATTCCTCTGGTTATCCTGATGCTGGAGTCTCAGGGTTCCAGGAATAAGGGGCATCTTTTACATCCCTGTCTGAGCCTGTGATGTGTCTGCTGGATGTGGACTCAGCTCAGCAAGCCTCTAGAGCAGCAAGCAGTTCTCCACCTTCCTAATGCTGCCACCCTTAAATACAGTTCCTCATGTTAAAGTGACTCCCAACCATAAAATTATTTTTGTTCCTACTTCATAATGTTGCTATTGTTATGAATCTTAATGTAGCCATCTGTGTTTTCTTATTTTTTTTGGGTGGGTCATGACTCACAGGTTGAAAACTGCTGCCCTGGACCCTCTAAACTGGCCTGGAAGTCCCCTGCCTAGGGCAGCAGTCCTCAAGTTGGTCCTGCTCAGGCCTGCCAATGGCTCCTTTAGGAGATGGATGTGTCCTCTGCCAGGCAGAGATGTGGGCTGTGTGATATGCAGAACTTAGCAAGAATGAAATGGCAATGAGCAAGACCTAGGGTAAAGGTCCACATCTATAGAAGGTCAGAGTGGGGGCCACCAGGCATCCCACAATCCTCTGGCTCAAATGGGACCAACTCCCAAGCAGACAGGCCAGGATTCTGGGAGAAGGAGGAAGAGGAGGATGATTGAGCAGAGAGGAAGGAGGCTGGAGAGAGGTGGCCACAGGGCTCAGAAACACCTCTTTCATCTCCACTCCCATGATCCACTCTTCCTGATCCTCCAGGAGACAGAGGGTCTCATGATTGGGTGTGCACTCACCTTGCAGTCAGCTTTGAGCAGAAGGGATTCATAATGGTTCCATATAGGGGTCTGCAGGCCCCTCTCCTTGTCACTGGGCACTAGCTCCATGACAGCAGCCTGGGGAGAGAGGGGTCAGCTATGTGGCCCGAGGCACCTCCAGGACTCCTCTGAGGGAGGTGGCCCTTTGGGGACACGTGGTCAAATGAAGTCTGGCAAAGATTAGTAGCATAACTTTTGTTCCTCACCGGGCTTTCCACATAGGTATCCAGGGGCAGCAGCTTCAGCACAGCCTCCAGGATCTGTGGGATGTCTAGGCCTAGGAGGGCAGAGCTGGGATCAGGCTTCTGCTCTTATCATGACCGGTAACCCTACCTGTCTGAAACCGGTCAACAGGCACGAAGGACCAGGACAGATGCCATAGAACCAGGACCAGTCCACCTATGGTGCTCACCATCCGCTCGGATTTCTACAGGCCCGCACTGGCAAATGGAGGAAGTAGGGAAGTTCGCATCTGCAAGAACTGAAGGGGGGGGGGCAGTTTCCAGTCAGTGCGGTTCTCCCAGATGGTCACCTCACATATGGCAAAGCCACACATCCTTGTGCATTATCAACACAGTCCACCATCTGGAATGTCCCCATACCCGGCCAGTATATACCTCTCACTCCAGTAGTGGGGACATATCATGGGTCAGCCCACTATCCCCCTTCAGATCAGTAGGAAAAAAAAAAAAAAAAAAAGACATTATAAATGAGGCAGTGAAACCTGAGAGGAGGAACCAGTAGTTTCACTCCAGCCTCTGACTGCCCTGCCTTGCCATAGGGCACCAGGCCAGAGACAGAGAATTCGGCAGACCTCAGGGCAGTCTGGGAGGCCACATGGGAGATCCGGGAACTATCCTGCTGCTGAACTTGGAACCCGCTTTGCCCTTTTCAGAGTTCTGTGGCCTGGGCCAATAATAGACCTCAGCTCAGCTCTTTCCTGAAGCAGATGGCTTCCTGTTCTGAAGGATAAGGTGACTATGGCAGTGTCCCTAGCCTTTCCCGGACCCGTGCCGATCGCTCCGCTGCTAGAGGTCCGAGCTGCCGATTCGCTACAAGCTCACCAATCTCATCTCCGTGCCCCATTCGCGCAAGCGCGAACAGTAGCTCCGGGGACAGCACCTTCGGGATGCCCTTGAGTGCAACCATGGCCGCAGAATTGGTGGAAGTCGGGAGTTGTGGCCAGGGTGGTGCCACACGGATTGGGGCGGGGCCAGAGGAGAGGCGGCTCCAAAAGCTGTGTAGCTGTGTGGTTCAGTAACCACACCTTAGCTCCAACTTCTTGTTTCCTAGCCTTGAGGCCAGGAGTAGTCACACCTCAGATTCAGGTCTGTTGCTATTTAGACTAAGACAGCCAAAAGCATCCTTCTGTAGCCATACCTTTGACCTTTCGATCTTATGACTTGCTGACAGCTTTGAACTCTCTGTCCTTGTGCCAAGATGGAGTGTAGGCATCTTTATGGGCACCCACACCAACCCAACATCTTAAACACTGTTTCAGTTTTCAGAACAAATGACTGTGCACACATAAGAATTAAACCAATGGGAGGTTGGAGAAATGACTCAGTGGGGTTTGGTGTCTCATAACCATCTGTAACTCCAGTTTCAAGGATGCATTGCCCTCTTCTGAGAGGCCTCTGAGTAACCAGGCAGACAGACATAACTGTAGGGAGAACATTCACACTTTTTAATTTTTTTCTATTTATTTATTTATTTATTTATTTATTGTTTTTTGAGACAGGGTTTCTCTGTATTGCTTTGGAGTCTGTCCTGGAATTAGCTTTGTAGACCAGGCCTGGAACTCACAGAGATCCACCTGCCTGCCTCTGTCTCCTGATTGCTGGGATCAAAGTCATGTGCCACCAATGCCTGTCTGTTCATACATTTTTTTTTAAGTTAAAAACAAATAACTAATAGATTACCTCAGTTCCAAGGTCACCTCCTTTGCTTGTTCATTTTAGACTGTGGGTCAATCAATGGCTGACATACACTTCTCTGTATGTCCAGGGTTAGTAAATGAACAGGGACTAGCGAGATGGCCCATTGCCTAAGAGCACCAGCTGCTCTTCCAGAGGATATCGGTTTGATCTCCAGCAACCACATGGTGGCTCACAACTACCTGAAACTCCAGTCCCAGGAAATCCAAAGTCCTCTTCTTGTGGAGTTTGGGGGAGGGGGGAAGGGAGTGGGCTTCTCAGGAGAAAGTCCCAGAGTTTTGGCTTCCAGAATAGGGAGCTTTGGTTGAGATGTAGTGATCATGCCAGTTACCATGATCTGGGCTGTGTATTAACTTCATAAAACCAACTTTGAATACTTGGATATGATATATGTCTTAATTTGGAGTTTAGGTAGGCCTCAGTTCTCACCCCCCAAACCCTCCAACACAGTTGATTTTGAGTCAGGGTCTCATTATGTAGCCCCAGCTAGCTGTTCTGAAACTTGCTGTGTAGACCAGACTGGCCTTGAACTCAGAGATCTGTTGGCCTTTGTCATGTGAGTGCTGGGATTACTTTCCCCATGAGGTGTATTTTATGCAAATACCCAAAGGTTCAGATGGAAACTGCTTCCATAAGGATCTCCATTCTCATACTGACAGGGGCCGAGGGTGCTGCAAAACAGCCCTGATGTCACACTGCCACAGCAAAAGGCAGTCATTTCCCCACACTGAATGAAGCTCTGGGCATAGCAGATCCTGGGACCCTGGCCACATGCCACTGAAATGGCTAGGACTAGTATAGAAGGTCACTGTCCAACTGTCTGGAGTCACAGTTGTCTGCACCCTGGAGTTCAAGACAAATATATATTGAGCAATATATTGAGATGGCTTCAAAAAGAAATATCTTAGCTGGGAGCTGGTGGTAAATGCCTTTGATCCACTGGGGAGGCATAGCCTGGCAGATCTCTGTGAGTTCCAGGTCAGCCTGGTCTACAGAGTTAGTTCCAGGACAGGCTCCAAAGCAATACAGAGAAACCCTGTCTCAAAAACCAAACAAACAAAATACTGTGAGAATGACATGTCCTCATCTCAGCACAAAACCTTAGGCTTTTCTGGTTTTTTGTTTTTATTTATTTATTTATTTATTTATTTATTTATTATTATATTATTATTTTCTGAGACAGAGTTTCTCTGTTTAGTTCCAGTTGTCCTGTAACTCTGTAGACCAGGCTGACCTCAAACTCATAGAGATACACCTACATTTGCCTCCCCAGTGCTGGTATTAAAGGCAAGTGCCACCACCACCTGGCAAACATCATACTTTTAATTGATGTACTACAGCGTGATAAACTCAGAGGGTCTTTGTATTAGTTTAGGCTTCAACATGCTTCAACTTAATTGCTTGCTTTTCACAGTTCTAGAGGCTAGAGGTTGCAGCAAGGCAGACTTGCTGTTGGGGAAGACAGACTTCCTGCCTCATCCTCATGTCTTCTCATTTCATCTTCACAGGGAAGGGTGTGTAAGCGCTCCTTTGGGGCCTTACAGACCCACTTACCTTCTAGCATTTTAAGACCACCACTTTCAGAATTTCATAGGAAGTCATTGGGAGATGTTGTTCATTGCCTTGTGCAAGTGAAATAACAGAAAAGAACAAATACTCTAATTCCACTCTTGAGGAACCTGGAGTCATTACATTCTCATAGAAAGTGCAATTGCTGGTTCCGGGGACTCGGGGGTGGGGTAGGGAGTCAGTGTCTAATAGAGACAGCTTTAGCTTGGGAAGATGAAGTTCTGGAGGCTGATTGATGGTGGGGAAGGCTGCACACTGATATGAAAGTGCTTGATGGGATACTCAGATGTGGTTAAGATGGTGAAGTCAAAAACACAAATAGCCGGGCAGTGGTGGCACACACCTTTAATCCCGGCACTCAGGAGACAGAGGCAGGTGGATCTCTGTGAGTTCGAGGCCAGTCTGGTCTATATAGTAAGTTCCAGGCAGCCAGGGCTACATAATGAGACCCCATCTATAAGAAAGTAACAGTATTCCCCCACAAATGAAAATAACAGCAATAGTAATTAGAAAACACCTTCTTCATTCTCTATAGACCACTATAGGTAAATTGAAATTAAATGGAAGTAGTCACTCTAAACAAATTATTGTACACTTAGAGCACTTCCTACTTGAAGCCATATCCTGAGCTGTGCACTGTCCAAACTGGACAGGGTATGGATGGTTCAAGCACACACCTGCCTCTGAAGTGAAGTAAAAAAAATAAAATAAAAATAAAAAATCAAGACACCTTGAATGTTTCCCATATTTCTGATTTAGAAGACTGTGAGAGATTGACTTCCAGCCCCGGTGGAGGTTGCAGGCCACACCATGAGTACCTGAGCTGGGGCCACAGCCACAAAGCCTTCAGTAGGGACTGTGGCCTACACCACCCTTTAGGACAATTTATTTGCCTCTCAAACTGACAGGCTGAACTTTCCTCCCCAGGGTGGCACAAGGCTCAGCTGCCAGCTTTCAGTGGTCTTTGAAGTTGGCCTTCCTTTTCTCCACAAATGCATCCATTCCTTCTCTCCGGTCATTCTGGTAGGAAAAGGAAGAAGGGAGGTAAAGTTTGCATCTTCCAATTGGGCCCTTCAGCTGACTGAATCTCCAAGATGCTTACATCCTCCTCCTCGCCTGCTTTTCAAGCTTATTGACAGGACAGTGATTCTGCACTGGACCCACCTGCAGCCCATGAAAGATGGGATTCCCCAATAACAGTGCTATGCATGGGACCAGGGGTTTGTATAACACCCAAGACACAGTCTCTCAGGAGCCTGTAAACTCGTGTTCACAGCACCTCTGCATCTGGCAGGGTCTGAGTGGGAATCTTTCACAGAGCTGTGGGGTAGCAACAGAACACACTATGTGCACACATCCCCATTCTTCCTCAGGAGTCCAAACCCCTAATGCTTGGAAGTGAACTCAGTTCTTCTGGAAGAGTAGTACATGCTCTTAAATGCTGAGCCAGCTCCCCAGCTCCTTAAATGTATGTATGTGTGTGTGTGTGGTGTTTAGAGAAAACACTTAGCACTGGGCCCGTGGTACAATGGATAATGCATCTGATGATTAGAAGATTTGTTAAAACACCTAGACATGAACTTCTGATAAGAGGTGAACTGTAGCAAGCATGGTGCTACACTCCTTTAATCACAGCATTCAGGAGGCTGGGGCAGGCAGAGCTGTGTGAGTTCAAGGCAAGTCTGCTCTATATAATGAATTCAAGGCAAGTCTGGTCTATATAATGAGTTCCAGACCAGCCAGGGCTACATAATGAGACCTTGTTTCAAAAACAAAAAAACAAAATAAAATAAATAGGGGGTGGTGGTGGTTAGAGATGGTCCACCAGTTAAAAGCACTTGCTACTCTTAAACAGGACCTGGGTTTAGCTCACAACAGTATGTAACTTCAGTTCCAAGGTATCCAGTGCCCTTTTCTGGCTTCTTCAGGCACCAGACATGCCACAGTATATTTACATCACGCAGGCAAAACACTTATCCACATAGAATAAACAACATTTAGAGATGGTTTCTCTGTGTTGCACAGGCTAGCCTCAAACTCCTGGGCTCAAGCAACTCTCCTTGTCCCCTGGCTCCTAAGTTTTGGAACTACTGTGCCCAGTTATGAATTCCACTTTAAACACAGAAGCTGCTGTTTGTGGAGTAACTCATGGGGCCTTTTTTGCAGTAATAAAATCTCTGCAGCTTCTGCAACAGAAACCAACATGAATCCCAAGCAGAGTACTAGTTACTCACAGTAGCAAAGGTAGAATAGAAGAGCTTCTTCTCCAGCTTATTTCCTTCTGTTAAGGTCATTTCAAAGGCTGAAAAAGAAACCCTGGAGTCACAAACCGAAGTGCTGGATGTGAGGGACCCATGTCAGACTGACTGTGATCCACAGAAAGGGCTACAGGCTGTGTGGCCTCCATGCTGATTCAGCTCTCCCCACTTTTCAAGTGCACGGCCCACGTTGAGATAGCCATGGAAGTAAATTGCTCTCCCAGGACTCCTAAACAACTTGGTGGTGGTCCAGGGACCCCAGACGGGAAGAGCACCAGAACTGAACAAAGGACAAAAAGCAGACTCTGCCCAGCTATGAAGACCTGAGGTGGCTGATAAAACCAAACAAGGAAGCACAGTAAAGCATGAAAAACAGAAAAGCATGGCTAGGAAGCAGGGACAGAGCATCACGTGTGCAGAACAGTGTCTAGTGGAACACTGCTGTGGAAAACCCAAGCTGTGACTATGCCTGCCATTGTGCTTGACAGAACCCTCAGTTGCTCTCTGTGTGCTCCACATATAGTAGGCTCTTCAAACACCAACACATCAGATTATGGCCAGCAGCAACCCTGAAGAGCTGGTGTCTCCTCTGGAGGTAGCAACAACCTTTCTAGGTCACATCTTTTGCCCCCCCAAGGTGACTCTACATGTGATGCTGAGCAGAAACACAGGGCCATTCCAAATGCTGAGATAAATTATTACATTAAGAGTCCATTCCCAGGGATGGAGAGATGATTCAGTGGCTAAGAACGCTTGTGCTTTTGCAGAAAACCTGGGTTCCCTTCCTAGAACTCACAGGGAGGCTCACAACTGTCTGTAACTCCATTTCCAAGGGGTCCCCTGTCTTCCACTGCACCATGCACACATGTGATGTTCATACACACATGCAGCCAAACACTCATGTGCATAAAATAAAATAAAATAAAATCCTTAAAATACCACAAAAACTCCATTCAGGTCTTCGTACCTATTTAACAATCTGGGTATCCCACAAATCCTTTAACTCCAGCTCTGAGAGATCTGATGCCCTCTGCTGGCCTCTGCGATGTTGAACATCCTGTTTCGAGGATAAATTTACTATGCTAGGCTTGTAAAAACAACATAGCTTTTTAACTTGTACAAGCCAGGAGGAAGTTGCTCCTACCTTGAATGTACCCTGTCAGCTGGCTCAAGGTGGACCACTTCCTGGTGCAGTTGGACTATGCTTAAAAAACTGCTGATTGTTGCAAAATCTTTCACTGTCTCAGCTATTCCTACAAGGCAATGGGTCACAAGATTAAACATGCTAATTGCTAAGTTCTGCTTTTGCATGAAACGCTTGCTTGGATGGCTGAGGTACCTGCTGGATGTCTGTTACAAGATCAGCCCTTACCTAGAGAATTCTCTCAGGTTTGGTCTCTTTTTAATAAAAAGCTTTTAATTTACTAAAATTAAAACTTGAGTCAAACTGGTGACTCTCTGAATAACACCAGACCCATGAAACCCTACACATGTGAAAGGCACACATACCCACATACATACACACATATATGTAAATTCACACATGTTAATAATTAACATAAATAGATAAAAAAAAAAAAAGATTTCAAGCCAGGTGTGGCAATATATGCCTATAGTCCTAGCAACTGAGGCAGGTGGATCCAGAATTTGAGGACAGCTTCGGTTATAGAAAAAGATCTTGCCTTACAACCCAAACAAAGGGCTGAGCAGGATGGCTCAGTAGAGAAAGTCCCTCATTGCCAAGCCTAACAACAATTGGAATTAAATTTCTGGAACCCATATGGTGAAGGAGACAATTGACTCCTCAAATTATTCCCTGACCTCAATATGTGCATAGGATACCCCCTCAGTAAATCAAAAAGGGAAATAAAGAAATAAATAAATGAGTCCATTTAAAGAGAAGAAGAAGAGGATGAGGCAGCTCGGAAGAAGGCAAGTCAGGCCAGTGTCATGAGCTGAGAGAACTTATGAAGATGTTTCATATGAGCTGTGCTACTGCAGATACCAGGCTACAACCCATTTGCACAACTGGAGCATGGGCTGAGGAGGGAACTGTTCAATCCAGGTTCCCAGAGACAGCCTTCCCTTGACCCAAAGACCGGTGACCCCAGGGGCTGTGGATCCATTCTTGGTCTTCCCTTTGTGCCTGACACTGCATTGCCATGATGTCCCAGGCCTGGCCCAGTCTTGGGTCCTGGTAAAGAGACACTGTGTATCCTGACAGACATCTGAGTGACCAAAACCTGGAATACTATGGCAAACTGCAATCCCAAGGACTTTCCCATTGCTGAGTGGGACAGGGTGAGGTAATTTGGAACCTTACAACTCCATCTATGCAGTCCTGTGGACTCTTCCCATTTTCTCTTTCCAGCAGACTCTTACCTGCGTTCACAGATTCTTTTGCCATAGCTACTATAATTTTGGAATTGCTGGCAATTTTTTCTGCACATTTGATGGTCTCTTCAACAAGTGTTTCAACAGGAAAAATCTTGCTTACAAGACCTAAAACATGAAAAGTATGAATAACACACAGAAACAGCACCGTCCCTTCCTCCGGAACCCAGTGACACCAAGAGGCCACCCTCTGGGTCCTAATCGAGGGATGGCTATCCCCAGCAGTGAGTGACTCTGCTCTCGACTGCCAGGGTTCCAGTCCCTGAGCTCTAAGTTGCACAGGCCACTTTGATCTTCATGATCAAACGGCACAAAGAACCTGAGGTCTATGGTCAATGCCAAGGGCAGGGAAATGTTGGCCTCTAAGGGCCTTTGAAGGGCAGTGGGAAGAGATGTTATTATTTGTAACCTGAACATATGTTGTCACTCTCTTGTGTATAACTTATTTCAAAATATAAAACCCAATGCCAGAACCTTAGGCTCCAAGGCCAGTTACCCATGGGGACACCAGATGTAGTCACCCCTGGCTCACAACATCAGCTATCCCACCTGCTTGCTTGGCATCCTGGGCTGAGATGCGCTCACCAGTGAGGACCATCTCCATGGCTAGTGACTTGCCAACTGCACGAGTGAGTCTCTGAGTGCCCCCGGCACCTACAGGAGGAAATTTGTGGTTTCAGTGGGCTCTTTGTTAAGTATATCCAGAAGAAACCCAAGTTTGGATGCAGCTCAGTGACAGAGGTTTAGCATGCATGAGTCCCCAAGTCCCTTCTCATCATTAAAAAGGAAGAAAAACCAGATTGGCTCTTTCTCCACAATCCTGAAAGGTTCTAGGGCTCCCTGAAAGCATGTGATGGACTGAATGCCAGCATCAGCCACCTTCTCTACAGACCTGAACAAATACACTGAACTCACTGCCCAGGATCTCAGAAGCCTGACCAAACCCAGAATACTGTGGAGGCCTCCTCTGCTTGTGGTTCCCTCCCCAAGGGCTCAGGTTCTCTCTGAGTGTTTCGTTCACTTTCTCCTGCAGGTCTAACAGGTGGCCCCAGGAGAGAAATGAGATTGCTTTCTCAACATTTTTCAGGGCTTTCCCAAGCAGCAGGGAGCGAGAATTCTACAGTCTGATGTACTGAACTCAGGTAGGCCACCTGACCCTCTACAACAGTGACATAGGAGTGGACAGAGCCAGAGTCACATGGGACGGAGTTTTTATTGCAAGCCCATAGCTACCCATTTTTCTACCAAGCTTTAGGTGTACAGAACTCTTGAAGATATATGACTCATGAGCAGGAAAGAACCACCATGGCTAAAAACCATCGTCAACTCTGTGTGTATTGCCTGAGGCTCAAAGGCTGTGCTGAGCTTCATCTGCTCTGTCTTTCAGGTGCTGGTTGGCAAAAAGAAAACTGAACAGACAAGAGCCATCCATCTGGGGCCTGTGGCTGGATGAAAGCCATGGGGCTAAGACTCAGGCTTATCTTGTTACAGCTGACACATTCTCACCTGGGATGGTCCCCAGCAGGATTTCTGGCTGTCCAAACTGGGCTTTCTCACCAGCATAGATGATATCACACATCATGGCAAGTTCACAGCCTCCACCAAGCTGCAAAAAAAAAAAGTTCATAAGCTGGTGGATTTTACCAGAGGAGTCCCAGGCAGAAAATTGCTTTATTTGCTTAAAAAACTTCTAAAACCATGAAATAGTCAGATAACAGCAAATGTTAACCTAGCAAAACACAACTACATTAAAGTGATAAGATAAATATAAGAGATGTTGCTTAACAGGGGCTTTTAGACTTTTATGTAAAGGGCCAGGCAGTAAATACTTTTGGCTTTGTGGTGAATAACTCAGGCTAACATAGTAACTCAAAATCGGTTAGGGCATGAATGTGTGTGGCTGACCACCCCCAAGGGATGGGTTTTACTAAATAATCAGCATGTATAATAATCACACGGTTTTTCCATGGGCCAAAGTAGTCCTGCATTTCTCAACGGCCTAGTGAAGCAGGAACAGTTGTGGGCACAGAGTACTCACACATGTAGTACAGCTACTGCAGCAATTAAACAGAAACAGAAAAGCTCATTAACACATCTAGGAATTAGCCAATGAGCCTCCATCAAACAAAGCAGTTAGCAAAAGACACCATGGGCCTTTCAAAGACACAGATCTTTGCAATACTTTATTTGTACAAGCATAACCCCTTCCACCTTGTACAGGAGACCTCTGGGGATGACACTTACAGCATAACCATTGACAGCTGCGATGACTGGCTTCTTGATCCGGGTGATCTGGTCCCAGTGGCTCAGAAACTTGCTGGAGTAACAGTCCTGGAATGTCCGGCTCTGCATTTCCTTGATGTCGGCTCCAGCTAGAGGCAGCAGTGAGGTTTCCATTACCAGACATCAGAGAACCTCTCAGTTCTGAATCTCCATGCAATGGGCCTCGGGCTACTTCCCACAACATTGGGAACAGCTGATACATGGACCAACAACTCACCAAGCTGTTATAAGAAGGTAATGTTGGGGGTTGTGGCAGGCAATGCATGCCAGGTACACTTAGAGGAGGCTGAGCGTATGCTGGTTGTTTCACCTGACCAGTAAGGACCTGAGCACTCCTGAATGTTCAACACACAGAACTGCTCTTCCATGGAGCTTATTGTCCATGTTTGTGTAGCCTAAGCTACCCCTCCCATCACAGAGAAACTGGTCCATTTTGCTGCTTCCCACAGGCCAGGCCACAGAATTCCCGTACCCTCTACCACCATGGCTGCCCAGCACACCTGCAAATGCCTTCTCCCCACCAGTGAGCACAATGGCCCCCACAGCAGGATCTTCCTCAAAAGTCTCCAGGGCTTGGTTGAGCTCCTCCATCAGGCCATTGCAAAGAGCATTGAGTGCTTTGGGGCGGTTCAGCTGGATCAATCCCACACTGCTATTCTTTCCTTTCTTTTCTGTGATGATGTACTGAAAGTTAGCACCTAGGTCATGAGGACAAAAGGGGATTGTCATCATAAAGGTAGTAAAGGCAGTATGGTGGCTAATCTTGGTTGTCAACTAGATCCCATGTGGAATCAACTAAAACTCAAACAGCTTGAACTACCTGTGGAGGATTTCCTTAGCTGGATCATTCGAATTGAAAAGACCCAGTTCTAAACCTGGGCCACACTTTCTGGTGGCAGCCTACATAAAAGGACACGGAAGGAATGTTTTGCTTTTTGCCTTCTTGCCCTCACTCTCAATGGCACTCTCATCCAGTCTATTCTTAAGGGATTCCTTCTCTGGTGTGTGAACCTATTTCTTCGAGATTCCAGCATACACTGGAGACCATCAGCTCTCTAGGACTTCCCTGGGCTCCAAAATCAGATGGGGACTGCTGAAATAATCCAGTCTCTTGGAGTGAAGGCCTATTGAATCCTTGGCCTTTGTCAGGAGACAGCCGTTGTTGGACTACTCAGGCTACAGCCTGTAGCCACTGTAATAACCTTTTAATATATATGTATATTATATATAAACAAATATAATATGCACTCATCCTATCAGTTCTGCTCTTTTACAGAACCCTGACTGATGAAAGAACAGACAGGGAATTCTGTACTATCCTTACCGAATCAGCCTGAAGCTCTGGCTATGATCTACCCAGGCATGTTGCCAGTGGCACATGCCTTTAATCCTAGCACTTAGGGGGTCCAGGCAAGCCAAGGAGCTACATAGTAAGATCCTGTCTCAAACAAACAAACAAACAAAGCAACAACAACAACCCTAGTACAGAACAGTCACCTCCCCCCCCCCCATATGCCAGCACTTTCCAGACCATGGCACCAGGTGAGAGCAGGCAGAGCCCAAGCCTGCTGGAGCAGTATTCCTGGTGGGACAGAGGCAGATGCAAAGCACCATTAGGTGACTTAGTGGAGCAGCCAATTCAGATGGGGTGGTGTGTGGGGTGTGTGTGTGTGTGTGTGTGTGTGTGCCCGTGCGCGCTCGTGCACGTGCGCTGGAGGGGAGGGGGAATGAGTGAGTGGTGTATAGCCCATGGGCTTAGGAGGAGGAAGATAAGCCTGAAACTGAAGGTCCATATTCCGGGTGTTTTGTTCCTTAACACAGTGCTTGTTTTATGGATTCTGGGTTAACTTAAGTGTGGTGCACTGTTAAACAGTAGGGTGCCTACTAGGCTAGGAAATGACATCCAATCCAGCTTGAGAAGCCCTAGCCCCAGGACATGGCCAAGAATTGCTGGTAACACTGAAGTACTAAATGGCTAAAGGAGGGATTATCCCACTGACTGGGGAGGAAAGTGGGTGTGTCAGTATGGGATGCGCTGATTGGACGGTGTGAAGGACAGGCTCAGCAGAGGGCAGTGGACATAGGAGGGACGGGACAGGAGGCACTGTGGACAAACCTTTCCCAAAACTCTTGCTTAACTGTCTTGCTTAACCTACCTTCACATTCTCTTAAAGCTACCTAAACGCACATGAGGTTTCACAACCAACATTCATGCTCCCAACTGGTCAGAGGTCCTGGCACTAAAGTTCTAGGGTTGAGAAGCTGCCATTACAGCCAGGGCCCTCTAATAGGCAGGGCTTCTAGGTGCTAGGCTCGGGTTGGGCTTGAAAGGTTAGCCTAAGGTCAGATTGAGGGGGGTCAAGAATTGAGAGGGGTATGGAATTGGGAAGGGGTTAGGTGAGTAGTGGAGGAGGGGGCTCCGAAGGAGGAGCTTCAAGCTAGGAATCTAGGTTTGGGTGTAGGGGATGAGCCTCGAACCCAGGATCTAGATACTTCAGAGTCAAGCGTTGGGAGTGCCTACTTGTGGAAGTGGAGGACAGACACAAGATCTGGAGTTAGGAGAGAAGGTCCAGGATCAAGAGAGGGTGCGTGCAGGCTGGGGTTATAAACCAGCCGGAGGCTGCGTGTGGAGAGTCCACCCAAAGTGGGGTGACGGACTCCGCCGGTGTCCGCACTCACCCGAGGCGAAGCGCCGGATTTCTGGACAGCGGACCGAGGACAACAGTGAGCTGCAAGCTCGGGGTAGCAGAGCACGCAGGGCGGCCATGGCGTAGAGACACTAGCCCCTCCCGCAGAATCGCCCCGCCTTCAGAATCGCTCCGCCCCAGATCCCAGGCTAGAAGGAGACGGAAGCGGAAGGTGCTGACGGGTGACCTGGGTGGGGTGATGTAGTGGGCGGGGTGGGGAGGAGGGTCGCCCATGCCGGGCTGCAGTTCTTTGAGTAGGCTGCTAATTGCACCGCGTTGGTGGTGTGCCCATGGTTGGTATCCAGTGCGGGTTAGTAGAGGCGACTGTGCCTTTTCCCATGTGCTGGCCGTGTGCGGTCGGACTTGATCGCTGGAAGGCTTAGAGGGTAAAGCAGTATGGAGCCGGTTTTGTTTAGTTTTGTGACAGGTCTCACTACATAGCCCTGGTTGCCCTGGAACTCACCATGTGAGCCAGGCTGTCTCCTGGTCCCACAAAGATCTGTCTGCCTCTGCTTCTGAAGTGCTGTGATTAAAGGCGTGTTGTCACCATACCCTGCTCGAGAGGCATTCTTTACGTGGCAGCTAACTAGCTTCATAACACCGGTTTAGAAATAGCTGTGGTTTTACAAGATGAGATGATTCACATATATTTAAAAGAAAGCTGAGATTTTGTTCACATAAATTATCTTGAATTATAACTTTGAAATGCTTAGCAAGTGTTAGTATGGCCTTTATTTGTATTTTTGCCCTGGCCTGCAAACACTAGGATAGAGATAAATGACAGCACTTACAAACAAAAGCAAAACTGATAAAGAAAACAAGTCGAACCAAAATAAGGTCAGCAAACTTTTATTTCAAGACTAGGGTAGAATATAAGCAGAAACAAATCACCCACAAACTTTTGCTGATGAGGGGCTCTATATTGGCATAGGCCAAGCTATCGTTACAGTAGTTAAAAAAGTGAAATGGCTCACATACAGGGTTTATCTAGCAACTCAGGGCTGGTGTTGAAGTCAGGTGGCTACTGTTCTCTGAGTTTAGGGACAAAAGATGCAATTGAAGAGTGAGAGTATTGTATTTGTTGGGGTTCTCTAGATAAAGAATTAAAAGAATATATATGTATATACACACATATACATGTAAATACACACACATACACAACAAGAATGGCTTACAGGCTGTGGTCTAGTTAGTTCAACAATAGTTGTTCAGCCCAAAAGGCTAGAGGGTTCAGCTGGTCTTCAGCATAGTCAGAATCCAGAAGAAGTAGGCTCCGACATCAGTGAGGGAATGCCTCAGCATCAGGTTGGAAAACAGCCTGCCATTTGTCTCAAAAGTTAAAGCAGCAAACCTACTCCTAGGTGCATACCCAAGAGAAATGAAAACAGTCTCACAGCAGCTTGTAGGTACATAAACAGCATTAGCTACAAGGACCAAAAAAAGTGGAAATAGCCTAAATGTCCATCAAACATTCTATGTTTAATCCCAGCACTCGGAAGGCAGAGGCAGGAGGATCTCTGAGTTTGAGGCCAGCCTGGCCTACAGAACTAGTTCCAGGACAGGCTCCAAAGCAATACAGAGAAACCCTGTCTTTAAAAACCAAAATAAAATAAAATAAAATAAACAAAAAATGAACAAGCCGGATTTGGTTAAGTAACATGGGAGGTGTCATCTGTGGTGTCAAACATGGCCCTCCTACCTTCAGACAAGCTTGTGAGACTGTATCTGCCTAGTCTCCAGATGTCTGTTTCTGAGCATGTGACTACCCCAGCTGCAGGGCAGCCTTTTGATTCAGACTATGGACAAGAAACACTACTGTCCCTGCCCTGTACCTCTGGAGACCCAAAGTGTTATTACCAGGCACTGTATTCAAAGTTCCCATCTCAATTTTACCTGTATGCCAAAGAAATTTACCATAGGAATTGGTGAGTGGAAGTAGATATATTTGAGACTCTGCCTCTCCTGTAGCAGGGTTACAATTGTACAGGAAAGGCCAGGTATGGTGGGGCACACAGCAACCCACTAGGGAAGTTAGGAAGGAGGGTCAGGAGTTCAAGATCAGTCTTGCTTACATAGCAAGTTTAAGGCTAGTCTGGACTATATAAGCCCTTCCCTTTAGTCCCTCCCAAGCAAAAAACCATTTATTTTTTTTAAAGAAAAGATGCAAGAGAAACCTGAAAGCATACACAATAACGGAGACAGGTTAACCTACCCAGTCCGTGCTTGAAGAAGGGCACTTGGGTCCCAGGCTGTTCCCTGTTAACAGAATTTTTAAAGATCTCTTATTTATCGTTTAACAGCTTCATACATATAAATGATGTATCTTGATTATATCAATCCCTAAGTCTCTCTCCCACTCCCGGAAACACCTTACCTTTCATGACCCTGCCTCCTTATACTCCACTGTATCCAATTAGTGCTGTCTGTTAGAATGTTGCTAGATCTTGGCTTGGTCTTTCACAGGCCATCTTTGCTGTCATGAATACATTGGCCATGTCGTGTCCAGTAGACAGCATTTCATAGCACTCCTCGCCACCCTCTGGTTGTTACATTTTTTATTTAAAAATATTTATTAGTTTTAAATTTATGTGTGTATGTATACCATGTCTGCATGGGTGTTCATAGAGGTTGGAAGGCAGAGCTGGATCCCTGCAGCTGGAGTTACAGATGCTTGTGAACCACCTGACATGGGTGCTGGGCTGGAAACTGAACTCCAGGCTTCTGGAAGAACAATATGTGATCTCTCAACCCCAGGGCTCTTACATTCTTTTCCTTCCCTCTCCTTAATGTTCCCTGAGCCGTGTGTGTGTGTGTGTGTGTGTGTGTGTGTGTGTGTGTGTGTAGGGGATATGATACAGATGTGTCATTCAATGTTGTCATCTATTCTCAGCACTTGGGCTAGTTGTGAGTCCCTGCATTAATTTCTGCCCACTGAAGAAGAAGCATCTCTGGCCAGTATTGATAGCAGTGCCAATCTGTGGGTAAAAACATAAACGTAAGCTGGGAGTGATGGCACACACCTTCAATCCCAGCACTGGGGAGGCAGAGGCAGGTGAATCTCTTGAGTTCAAGTTCAGTCTGGTCTACAGAGAGAGTTCCAGGACAGCTAGAGCTGTTACACAGAGAAACCCTGTCTCAAAAACAAAAATAAAGCAAAACAAACACCCAAACCAACCAACCTAACAACAGCAAAAAACAAAACAACTCCCCCCCAACACAAACATTTAGAATGTAGTTTGACAACATGGTTTAGCAAAACCGAAGGCTTTGCTAAACTTTAGATCTTGTTTACGGTAACAAGCATGAATTCCCTCCTTTGGAGCAGGTCTTTAATCTAATCCAGTTGGTTATCTTTATAACCTGTGTGCTCCTGTTGGGCACATCTTACTTGGCAGGCCAGTAGTATGTGTAATACCACTGATGACTTCTCTCCTACAGCAGCATGCATATCAACTGTTAGTCTATGAAAACTAGCCAGCAGGAATGAAGTTTGTTAATGGAAGTTTTAAGACTGGGTAGAGGAAAATGGTGGGTACTAAAGACTGGCATTTTGAGTGAACCTGGCTTGGTAGAGTTCTTTGCCTCTAGGTCCATTTCTTTGATGGTTGTAGGCAGGATGCCCTTGGTATCTCGTCTATGGAGGTCAGCTTCAGCTCCCAACTCCCAAGATCCTTTTAAACACACTAACTTTGCAAGTGAAAGGGTGATGTTCTAATAGTTGAGTGAAGGGCATATGCCTCCTGATCTTTAGAATATACCTTCTCCAGAAAGGGATTCGTGCAAAGGATCACGATTCCCACCTGTACCAGAGCCATCGCCCCTTCTCCGCAACATGCAATCAGCGCGTTTGTGGTATAAACTCTACTTGATTTGAGTGTGTGGATCGAGTGAGTAGGGCAAAGACAATTTTGTCCCTCAGCCTGTGAGTGCTGCTCTGGTGAAGCTTGGTCAAAGCACTGTTCTCAGCTTACAGGAGTAAGCATGGGGTCCCGGACTATACACCTCTTAAGCAGGTTCCACTGTGAGCCAATACTCCCGTGAAAAGGAGACTAGAGCTATGGCGCCCCCTCTGCTTATTATTATTATTATTATTATTATTATTATTATTATTATTATTATTATTAATTTTTAGCACTCTCTGCTTATACATGCCAGGAAGAATGCCTCGCAGGATGGATGACTCTGGAAGGCCAAGTACCTCTGTGGGGATGCTGGCTGACATTGTCCAGTGGCAGTCACACCCACATCTCTCTAAAGGCGACTGTGGGCGGCCCTAAACATGAAGGGCACGGTTCAGAGCACCTGGAGCTGGAGCGCATCCGGGAGCCACAAACCTTCGTGGAGTACACAGTGCTGACACAGTGCAGACCGCGGGACATCCACCTCGCTCTGCTCCGGTCCAGGTCCGAATGTTCAAAGAGGGCTGCCCGGACCTCGCTAGCCTTCCGCCTGGCCCCTCCGGCTCCCCATAGGCCCCGCCCCTCGCCCCACCTCCAGCCCCACGCACTCTCCTTTCCTACATAGCTCCACCTTCTTCCCCGCCTCTGGCCCCGCCCGCCCGTCCGCCCGCCTCCGTGGGGCAGCCTAGGGCCATCGGTCGCTGGAAGACCCTGAGCAAATTATGGCGTCCGGCGGTCCGCGGGTGCTGGTGGTGGGCGGCGGCATCGCGGGGCTGGGCGCTGCGCAGAGACTCTGCCGCCACCCTGCTGCTGCACACCTGCGGGTCCTGGAGGCCACCGCCGGCGCCGGGGGCCGCATCCGCTCGGAACGCTGCTTCGGTAACCGCCCCTTGGACCCCCTGACCGACCCCAGACCCCATCCGACTGATCCAGGAACCCCTTTCTGGCTCCTTGGGTAAAAGAACACACACCCACGTTCACCGGGCCCTGAAAGTCAATTGCCCAAAGTTAGGAGAGTACACTACAGGGAAGGCAACCTAGGGTCCCGCAGTTCCTCTCAGTTTCTCTTTAAGTGTCTTCCGAAGCCGATGCAGGCTGACTTTCAGCCCTCCCCAGGAGTTCCCTAAGCCTGTTCTGACCAAGCCTTGCCTTTGGGAACCACTTGACTCTGAGGGACAGGTCCTGGTATACAATGGGACCGTGTGACTCTCAAGATGTTCTC